CACCCCCACCCAATCCTGAGATCTCCTTTGGTGGCCAGCTAGCACTCTTTTTTCCCCATAACAACAGACAAATGGGGGCTGGATATCATCCATTCGGTCTATAACATTAAGTTTCTCTTCCCCTTCCCTGTCCCTTTCCAGGGACCACTCTCACAAAGAGATCCTCCTCCAGGAGGAAAAATCTCTCATTCAGTGCGGAGCAACAGAGTGGGTACCTCTTCAACATCAGGGAAAAGATTTCTATTGAAAATATTTCCTAGTTCCCAAAAAGTAAAGAGGATGAAGACCCATTTTCAACCCACAACTACTCAACTTTTTTATTGGCAAACTAAAATTCTGTATGGTTACGCTGGCATCAATAATACCATCCCTGGAAAAGGACACATAGTTCTTCAAGATGTGTCCCCCCCACATTGGTGCTCTACTACCCACCCTCCTTGCCTTCTGCTTGAGAGCTCTCTGCTATAGGGCTTCATGATAGAGAAGGAGCTGAGGGCAGTTCGCCCATGCAATGCTGTATAACAATGGCACAGTGTACGAGACTGAGTAACACCGTGCGTGGGCTGATACTGCTATGAGAAATCTCTGATCAAAGGCACAGGGGTCCAGGCCCATCTAGAGTGGAGCACTCATGGGGGAGGGTGGACATCTCGAAGAACCATAGTTACTGCACAGGGTGAGTAACCATTTCTTCTTCAACATGTGTGGTCCTTATCTTTATTCTACTACCTGCCCTCCTTTCCCTCTGCTTTGGATTTTGGCCAAGATTCGCAGTAGAGAAGGAACTGAACAGGCAGGCAGTCTGCCCTGCCCCTTATGCCCTCCGTGTAGAGCACAAGGAGAACAGGGGCACAGGTGCAGACCAATGGACACTGCTTGCAAAAATTCTCCACTCTCAGGCTTATGGAGCATGTGCATCCCACAGTGGAGTACACTTCAGGACCACACATCTCAAAGAACACCAGTTAAAAGGTAAGTAACCTTTTGTGTCTGAACTCAAAAACTCAGGTTCTGCAGAGGCAGACTGGTTCAGTGGATAAAGCATTGGGCTGGGAATCAAGAGTCCTGTGATCTTTTCCCAACTGTGCCACTAACTCTGTGACTTTTGACTTTTAGCAAATCCCTTAATCTCCCTGAGCCTCCGTTTCCCCATCTATAATATTGGGATGATGCGTGTTTTCCATTGACATTTGTGGATGAAAAAATGCTGTATAAGAGCTTGACTGTTATCCCTCTTCCTTGCTAGACACACAGGCCTAGCTTTTTTTGTTCAAATATGAAAGTGAGTAAGGGGCTCCCAAAGAATTCTTGTATCCATAGTGGGAGCAGGAAGGAATTCTGCAGGGAGCTCATTGAAGACTGGTGCTTTTCTGGCAGTTCAGGAAAGTTCCAACAGAACTATATATTTTGTGACCTGGACAAATTCCACTTAGAAAGCATGTAATTACATTCTGCCTTCATACATTCCCCCAGTAGTGTTAATTTGACATAGTATTTTCTTTCTTTCTTGTCTTAGTGTTATTGTGGTGCTCTGGGTGCTAAACAGCTATCATGCGTCACCTCAGAGGAGACTGCACTTTAGTGCAGGGGTGAACTGGCCATTCTGTCTACAGTAGAGTCCATTTAAAAGTCAGCATTTGCCCACTGCTACTATTCAGTCACTACATATCTCTCCGAAGTCTGGAGAAAGACTGTGGTAACTGCTGGCAAATGCTGCTTTTAGTAGTGACCACTGTGTGCATTAGTCATCCTGCCAAATAACTGAAACTTCCACTTGTTTGTTCTAATGGCCATTTCTTGGGCATTGCACAAAATTACTAAAGCTTCCAGGCATATTTTGTCAAATGAATAAGAATGAGAATTAGTTATTTAATTAAATGCCTAAAGTTGTACTCTATAATAAACATACAAGAAAAGATACATGTTGTGTATTATTGTACACTGCCATGTGTTAGAGAACATCTGTCATGCGGTAACTGCAGATGCAATGCTTCTGTTGCTATATGCCTAACATTTGGAGCAAGTGAGAGTTGAGTAATACTGGCTCTTACACTCTTACTCAGTGGTTCTCAGACTTTTGTAGTGGTGATCCCTTTCACATAGCAAGCCTCTGAGTGCGACACCCCCCTCCCCCAAATATATAAAAAGGTGTTTTTAATTTATAACACCATTATAAATGCTGGAAGCAAAGCAGGGTTTGGGGTGGAGGCTGACAGCTCACGACCCCCCCTCCCCTGTAAGAACCTCGTGACTCCCTGAGGGGTCCTGACCCCCAGTTTGAGAACCCCTGCTCTTCTTACTGGTTCACTTGTTGGCTTTGCACTTCCTTGGTTTCTGAGTAGTTACATTTAATGACCCTCCTGGGTCACCAGAGGCAGAGTTGGTTTATGATATACAGACAGGGTTTTCTGGATTTATGCAACTTTTTATCCAACAATTTCTGGGAGTGAGTATGGAACTGGTTACATGATTGGACTGACGACTGGTTACATGGTTTCCTTATTATTAATTCTTATGTGTGTGTTTATAGTACAGTGGAACCTAGGGCCCCATTGTGCTAACTTCTGTGTAAACATAAAATAAAACTGTCCCTGCTCTGAAGAGCTTACAACATCAATAAGGAGTAAATAAGGACAGTGCTCCCACCAGTTAGTGAAGTCAAAGCAACCTCGAGTCTCCTACATGGTCACTGCCCCAGGAAATGAACACACGAAGAGCTCAATCAGGGACTCTCCTGTCCTCAAATTCCAAGCAGATACCTTCCCCACTCTCTAAAAAGAGTAGGTCTGCCAGGCTGTCAAGCACTAGAGCAGGGATCGGCAACCTTTGGCACGCGGCTTGCCAGGGTAAGCCACCTGGCAGGCTGGGCCGGTTTGTTTACCTGCCACGTCCGCAGGTTCGGCTGATCGCGGCTCCCACTGGCCGCAGTTCGCTGCTCCAGACCAATGGGAGCAGCGGGAAGCGGCGGTCAGCACATCCCTCGGCCTGTGCCGCTTCCCGCAGCCCCCATTGGCCTGGGACGGCGAACCGCAGCCAGTGAGAGCCATGCTCAGCCAAACCTATGGATGAGGCAGGTAAACAAAGCAGCCCGGCCCGCCAGGGGGCTTACTCTGGCGAGCCGCGTGCCAAAGGTTGCCAATCCCTGCACTAGAGCAACTTTTCACTGTGTTTAAAAAACAAATTAAACATCACAGCAGTCCTGTAACATATTGTAACACTGAGCCAACAATGGAAACAAAGTGTTTAATCCTCTTTTTCATAATATGTAATTAAACTGGTGGAGGTTAAAAATAAAGCTAAATTAATGTAATCACTAGGACTGTCAATTAATCAGTTAATTAAAAAATAATTAGAAAATTCATCTCAATTAATCACACTTATAACAATAGATTACTAATTGAAATTTATTAAATATTTTTGCATGTTTTTCTACATTTTCAATATTGATTTCAATTACACACAATACAAAGTATACAGTGCTCACTTTATATTATTTTTTATTACAAATATATACAGTGTAAAAATGATAAACAAGAAATATTGTTGTATTTTTCAATTCACCTCATACAAGTACTGAAGTGCAATCTCTTTATCGTGAAAGTGTAACTTATAAATGCAGATTTTTTTTTTTTTGGTCACATAACTGCACTCAAGAACACAACAGTGTAAAACTTTAGAGCCTACATGTCCACTCAGTCCTACTTCTTATTCTGCCAATCGTTAAGACAAACAAGTTAGTTTACATTGACGGGAGATACTGCTGCCTGCTTCTTATTTACAGTGTCACCTGAAAGTGAGAACAGACATTCGCATGGCACTTTTGTAGCTGGCGTTGCAAGGTATTTACATGCCAGATATGCTAAACCTTCGTATGCCCCTTCCATGCTTCAGCCACCATTCCAGAGGACATGCTTCCATGCTGACGATGCTTGTTAAAAAAATAATGCGTCAATTAAATTTGTGACTGTACTCCTTGGGGGGAGAATTGTATGTATCCTGCTCTGTTTTACCCACATTCTGCGTCTATTTCATGTTATAGCAGTCTCGGATGATGACCCAGCACATGTTCATTTTAAGAACACTTTCACAGCAGATTTGACAAAACGCAAAGAAGGTACCGATGTAAGATTTGTAAAAATAGCTACAGTACTTGACCCAAGGTTTAAGAATCAGAAGTTCCATCCAAAATCTGAGATGGACGAGGTGTTGCTTTTAGAAGTCTTAAAAGAGCAACACTCTGATGCAGAAATTATAGAACCTAAACCACCAAAAAAGAAAATGAACCTTCTGCTGGTGGCATCTGACTCAGATGATGAAAATGAACATGCGTCTGTCTGCACTGTTTTGGATCGTTATCAGGCTGAACCCATCATCAGCATGGAAGCATGTCTTCTGGAATGCTGGTTGAATCACGAAGGGACATGTGAATTTTTAGCGCACCTGGCACGTAAATACCTTGCAACGCTGGCTACAACAGTGCCATGCGAACGCCTGTTCTCACTTTCAGGTGACATTGTAAACAAAAAGCAGGCAGCATTATCTCCTGCAAATTGTAACCAGTTTTTTGTCTGTCTGAGTGATTGGCTGACCAAGAAGTAGGACTGAGTGGACTTAAAGGCTCTAAAGATTTACATTGTTTTATTTTTTAATGCATTTTTTTTGTACGTAATCCTACATTTGTAAGTTCAACTTTCATGATAAAGAGATTGCACTACAGTACTTGTATGAGGTGAATTGAAAAATAATTTTTTTTTGTTTTTTACAGTGCAAACATTTGTAATCAAAAATATGAAGTGAGCACTGAACACTTTGTATTCTGTGTTGTAATTGAAATTAATATATTTGAAAATGTAGTAAACGTCCAAAAATATTTAAAATAAGTGGTATTGTATTGTTGTTTAACAGTGCCATTAATTGCTATTCCTTTTTTAATCGCTTGATAGTGCTAGTAATTATTTTTGCCAGAGTTGTAGAATTTATTGTGCACTTAATTATTCTAGGCACTCTGGTTTCCTCTCCTGGAGGCTATGATGTCGCCACAGAAGCTATCCAGTTCGACAGTGTTGTGTCAATATTCTGAAGGTAAGTTTGTTGGCACCATGTGGCACCAGATACCACTGAAAATGTGACCTCAGTTTTTTTTTCTCCTTTTCTCCTGACCAAACATGAGGAAGTAAGCATTGTGACTGAACTAGTGTACAACTCCGAAACAAAGCTAGGGTGTGCACCTGTGTGAAAAGTGCTGTTACTCTCTTCCAGCTGTGAAGTAGCACTTTTTACCAGGAGCACATTACACCTGTGTTGCAATGTCTGCACTGGTCCCTATTGCCTTTCAAGTACAATGTAAGTTATTTTGTTTGACCTGTAAAGTCCTAAATCATCTGGTCCTGGCTACTTACACTACTTGCCTCCTCGTGTGGCTCAGTGGCATTTGCAATTAGCTGTGGCATCTGAGTTAAAAACCTATTGCTTTAAATGACTCTGGAACTCTTTTCCTTGGACCAATATAGGTCAGTTTTGCTTCAAGGCCTGTACGTTTCTTAGGCTTTCCATTAGGGGGTAGATTTGGGGTCTTTTGGGTTCATTCTCTGGATACTGATCCACCATAGTTATTCTGTATGCGTGCAAGTGATGTGCATGCACTAGGAGTTCCTGTAGGTACTTTCAGATAAATTGAAGTGAATTTATACAGAAAACTTGGTTGTGCAACAGTTAGATGGCACACACAGCAAATCTGACACAGAAACACAAGCAAGGAAGTGCATGCCCATTATTTGTAACTGGGTGGTTGTCATTTGTGTGTTAACAGTTGATATCATCGGTATTTCTTCTGCCCAATGCCAGAAGAAGAAGAAGAAATCAGATTAAACATTTCCATTTGTTGCCTTAAAAATTAACCCTATTCTGTCTGCCTCCATCCCCTCTCCGTAGGTAGATAATACACTATTGCCTTCCCACACTTAAGAATTTTCTCATGCTATTGTCTTATTTCTATGATGGTAGCATCGTGATGCTCCTTTGTGCTGGGTGCTGTACAAACAATCACTGCCCTGAAGAACTGACAGTCTAAATAGATAAAACAGACAAAGGTGGGAGGGGAAGTGATTTGTCCAGCGTCAGATTAGATAAGCGGCCAAGCTGAGACTAGAACCTAGGTCTCCTGGCTGCTAGTCCAGTTCTCACCTGCTAGACCATACTGCCTCCCTCCTATCTTCCTCATACACATTCAAGTCCACTAGTCTGGAACAAACCGCTGGGCTGACTCCAACCATCCATGACTATAAAGGGAGCGCATGGGTCAAAATTCTTAGTACCTGCACAGCTTCCCTGGTTAGGTTTGGTAACTGCATCACAGCTCCGGTCTCTTGCCTCTGTGTGCACAATAGCAACTCACTGTGCTAACTCTGCTCTGAGGCTTTTGGGAAAGTCGTGGACCTCTGGGATCATCTGATAGTTCTTCCTTGCCTCCATTTTCTCCTTCCTTTTCCCCATCAGTTTCCACAACCCATTGGTGCAGTAAATACTGCAGTCCCAGTGCAATCCAGTGACTGTTTCCTCTAACAGCAGGTCACTGTCTCTTTGTGCAATGAGTGGATAGGGTTTTGCTGGCTCATCAGTGGAGGGTGACCATGCATTGACTAAGAACCTGGGGCTTTTAATCCACACAGTGATCTCTGGAGAGCGAGGATCATCTGTCATCAGAGCCACGGCCAAAGATAGGGTGTGCCATCGCATTTTGGCAAAGGGGAGCCATTGAGTCTAACTTATCCATTTAAGCAAGCTCATTATTAAAATTAATTCTGGAAATTGAAGGTGGTTCTCTGGGTTAATGCACCTAAAAAGGAAGGGAACACCCAACCCTTAGAGGAAAAAGTGTAAAGGAACTATTGCCCTCCCTTTTCACACTTGATCCCGAATTATAACCAGTTTTATTCCATTCTAAAGTGGGTTATTGTTTAATATTTATATTGCCATAGTGCCTAGATGTCCAATCAGGAAGCTGGGACCCATTCTGCTGAGAACTGTATACACATAATAAAAAGGCCATCCCAGTCCCGAAGAGTTGTATAGCTATTGCCCCTGAGAATCCAGTGAACAGGGGCCTGGAACGTGTGCTGAAATAGATTATGAAAGGCACAACCTTGACAGGAGGCGTGTCCAGCCCATGGCACAGAGAACACTGTAGCCCTCATGGCTTTGAATTATTAAAGGCAACTCTTTGTTATGAATTGAAGATATTTCCTGAATCACACCCAATGATTTTTAAACAGAAGGGTTTGAATCTGGCCATTACTGTGAGGGTGGTGGGGGAGTCGGCACCACCTGCCCAGTTGTTCCATATGCTTCCCCGTACAGCCCCAGGACCTGCTTTGATGTGACATGAATGTTCTGAGCAGCAGCAGTCCCTTCTCTTCTGCAGCAGCTCAGCAGCTCCCCCGCTGGCCACCTGCTGAATTCCAGCGGAGGGAGAAGAGAGCAGTTCTTTGAGTGCTCCACATCAGGGTGTGCACATGCCTGTGCACTCTTAATCAGATATTTTCATCAGCAAGATCTGTGGGTCTGTGCCTGCTCCCTAGATATACTCGAGCTGATTCTGCCTGCCCTGCACCTTGGTGAAAGTCTAGTACAGGGCAGTGCAGGAGAGTAGAAAGAGAAGAAGCTGAGGAAACAATCAGGTCTTTGATTCTCTGCCTCAGCATTGGCGCAGGTTACAGCAGCCTGGGGGCTGCTCTAGCACAAGTTGGCTGACATCGACCCCCATGGGACCATATACCAGCCACTGCCTCACCAGTCCCCATGTGAGCCCTGAGGAGGAGAGCTGCTGGAGACTCTTCCACGTCATGGCAATTACAGGTGGCATCTCCTCCCTTTGTGCTGCCAGAAAGAGGAAACAGGCCTGAAGCATTGTGACCGCCTGAGTTTTTTGTCATATGTTTGACCCTTAGGCATCACTGCTATACAGCTATAAGGGCATCCATGTCTCGTCACACTGCCTCCAGAGCTTCCTTACTCTTGGTCAGGGTCCTTCGTAATGTGAAGGGAAACCAAACTGAGCACGGTTACTGAGAAGAAGTTATAAAATCATCACAGAGCCATCATTCACAAAGGATGCACTTTGTGTGATAACCAGAGTATCACCTAAGGGCCTGTATTTTGTTCAGAGGTGCTGAGCTCCTGCAGGTCCTGACTTTTTTAGGTTGGGCACACAGATAACAGAATTGTTGGCCACCAGTGGAAAATGTTGAAGTTAATAAGACTATTCATGTGAATAAGTTTTGCAGGTTTATACTTGATGGCAATAGGGAAATTTGAATTGCAGTAGATAACCAGATTAGAAAAATAAATTCAGGAAGGTCCCAGACTGTGAGGCAATTTGTGTGTGTGTGTGTTGGGGGGAGAATCATAGTGTAGTGTGTGAGTCCCAAAAACGTACCTGAAAATTACATGGATTTTTAAATATAAAGAATTGTAATTTTATTGTATAATTCTCTGGTCATTATAACTATTTTTTATTGTAAATGTTAATCATGTTTTTGAAAACAAAGGAGTATAAACATCCTTGTGAACTCTTAATATAACATATTATTGTTTTTATAAATCTCCAGTTCTGGCCAGTTGTGCATGACTTTTACATATTTATTATTTCAGCTCTGAAGAGTTTGACAATGCAAGTGCTAAACAACATGGCTGCATTTATTGCCCTTCCCTCAATCTTGCAGAGAATTCTCCAGGTGAGCAACAGGGGAGGAGAAAACATAGTGAGCATACAGTTGTTTACTAAATTGTTGTCTTTTATAAGGCCCTGGTTATACCACATTCAGAATGTAGAGCCAAATCCATCCCTGATGTAACATTGTTGACTTCGGTGTAGTTACAGAAATTAATCTGGTTAATTATTAGTTAAGGCTACAAAGATGAAAAAATGCTCATGGGACTGGTGTGATGGGACACTAACTGAAATGATAATGTTTAGCCTTGAGAGAAGATGTAGTAACGTAAAGATTGTATGTTGTAAACCAAACGATTTTTTACTTATTAGATCTTAATTAGTTTGGTCCAAAATTTAAATATTTTTAAAACCTAGGGCTGAGATTCCTAAGAAATGGGAGCCTAAGTTAGTCTACTAAATCCTTACTTAGGCCTGGTCTACACTACAAAGTTAAGTCAATGTAAGTCATCTTTGTGACATTATCCAGGGTACAATCTGGACTGAGGGACAGCTGTGTCCCCTCAATTTCCCGACCTGGGGTGCCTTTTACATGCTTCGCTGTGAGAGCAACCACTCCTGGTCTGCTCTCTCTCAGCCTCCAGCATGAAAATCGCTCCCAGCTATAGTGTATGAGTGCTATAGCCAGCCATTCATGAATTACACTGTGGGCAACACCAGCAAACTCCCAGCCTCAGACTTTCCCCCAGAAATGTGCATCTTGTACTGCCCAGCACCCTCCTGCACAACACAAGCTCATATGAAGTCTGTCATATTTATTAATAGAAAATGATATGCACAAGTCTTGTTATCCCAAATGGAGTTTTCCAAACACTTCAATCCAAACACACTGGTTTAGATAAAACAACAAAACAAATGTCCTAACTACAGAAAGATAGATTTTAAGTGACTACAAGTAATGAGGCATATAAATCAGAATTGGTTACAAGGAAATAAAAGATAAAACACAACTAACACCTAACTTAACAAGCTAAATGAATACAAAGCAAAGGTGTCTCTCACCACATGTTCCAGCAGTCTTACAGGCTGAACCTCTTTCAGTCAGGATTTCCCCCCCCTTCCCCTCCTCCCAGTCCAATGCCGCTTCCTTTATTCTTTAGGGGTTGATGGTGCTGTGGGCAGAGAGCAAAAGAGAGATGATTTGAGGCATCTGGCCTCTCCTCTTATAACCCTTTCTCTTGTACAAGACTCATCTCCAGCTGATGTTCAGAATACAATGTCTGTGTAGCCTGGAACCTTAAGATGCTTCTTTGTCAAAATGTAGATTTCTTTTCTTTTTTTTTTTTTTGCCCACACCCTCTCTCCCGCTGAAAATGGCCACTTAATCAGGTGATGGTCCAATTGATCTCATTGACACCTGGCTGAGGCATTGGCTAGCCTTTTGTCTCTGGGGAACTTGTTTGTGACTGCCCTTCAGAACATGTTGTTACATGTCTTGGTAATAGTATACAGTGGAATCTTATCTTTACATACAGTGTTGCCACACATTTTACCAGGACAATAATGATCAGCAAATCATGAGTGTTCAAATGATACCTTACACAGTATGCTTTGATGCAATATTTAACATAGTATTGCAAAAGGGGTGAACATAGGGCTATGGACTGTCAGTCTTCTGTCAACCAATTTGTGCATATCTGCTTTCAAATTTGTCTACCGCCATAAGCATCCTATTAGTGCAATGCAGTAAAACCACCTCCCAAAAGTTGTGGAAACATAGTCGACCTACTGACCTGTGAACTCTGGATACCCTAATAGTCCTCCAGCAGCTGTTCCGCAATGCCCCTGGCAGAGCCATGGACCAGCTGAGAAATATGGAAATCTACAAATGGATTACATGGGAGATACAGGCAAAAGGATATGACCAGAATCAGCAGCAGTGCCCTGTGAAAGTGAAGGAACTTTGCCAGGGCTACCACAAGGCCGGGGAGGCCAACAATTGATCTGGTGCTGAGCTGCAAACCTGGCACTTTTACAATAAGCTGCATGCCATATGTGGCGGAGACCTCGCCAGCACCCCACAGACCACAATGGAGACCTCGGAGGAGCCTGAGAGAGACCTCTGCCATGAACAGCAAGGAGGGGGGACAAAAGGGAGACACAGTGGGGGGGCTCCAGCCATGCTGTTTGAGACTCCCCCCCGCCCCCCAGTCTAGCCAGTCCCACCAGGAGAGCACTGGATGAGCTTGAGGAAGGAGAAAGGTAGCTTGAGTAAACGTGCATACATTTTTCTTTACAATGTTTAAATTTAAAGATTGTTGCCCGGCCCGCTCCCAAGTTAGACACCGATATTAACTCTTCATTCTTTTACTTGTGTGAGAGCAAACAGAGCTAGAGTTGGCATCTGCTTGTCATCCCTCTGTTGGAGTAGGTGGGAAGACACATTCAGTGAAATCCTGTGAACCAGTGCTGCATTGGATCAGGAACAAGGGGCTTAGAGAGCCAATATGACCCTCTGTGTGAATAAGGAAAAAGAAGACAGGAAAAAGGCCGAAGGAGAGGGAAATGCACAGGACATAATGGGTCTTCTCAAGCAGCATCCCCAAATGCTGCAGACCCTGGTTGACCAACAGGTCCAAAAATCCCAGACTACATGGCATCACAGACTGCATCCATACCCCTACTGCTCCATCCTGGGGAACAGCAAGGAAAATCACAGCTTCACAAACGCTGACCTGTGAGAATCATGGTTGGTGTATGCGTAACCACAGCAGACTATGTTTGTGCACTAAAATGGACAAATGTTTGCAGCCTTTCCAATTTTAAAGTTCCATGCTGTTAATTTGTTAAAAAAAATTATTACATTGTTTTTGTATACTGTTTTCCCCACTTAATAAAGTTCTATTTTTAACTTTATTTTTATTGTTTTGATACAAAATATAAACACAATGAAACAAAACATATAAATACATTCACAAGATGGAAAAAGTATATAAATAACAGACTTCAACATTCATTATTTGCAAAACATGGAAAAAACAAAACAAATATAAAACAAACAAAAAATCCCCCAAACCTGATCTAGTAGAGGTCATGCAGGGCATTGATAATTAAAGTGACTAAATAGATAAATAAGAGTTATTTTGAGAAAATGGAAACCTGCAATTCCCTCGATACACAGACTGGCTTAGTGAGCTCTACTACTGCATTAATTTAAAAAATGACTTTTTTCTAATAGAAACGCTTGGGGAAAAAAATACGAGGCTGTCTGGTCACTCATGAAACTATTGTATTGCAAAAATATAAAGTTCTATTTTTAGCGAATAAAATTAACTTTATAAGCTCACAGCACATTGCCGAATCATCCTGGTACTCACAGCACACTGTATTTGTAAATGTACAGCAAGCCCTGTGTAATTCATAGCATCAGTAAAACATAGTTATATGTATAAATGTACAGCAAGTGCTACACAATTCTTAGCAGCATCCAAAGCTCCAGGCCCAAAGAACACTCCAGCACAGAACACAACTATGGCTCTTTCAAAGCACCCCTCAACCAAAGGGGGAAAAGCTGCCGTCAGGGTGGAGGTGGAGCAGCTGTTTGCTGACTTTGAGCAGCCAGACACAAGGGCCATTACAAGCTCAGTGTGGAGCTATTTGAGTGCTTTGAAAGAACCATAGTAGCTTTATTGGACCAACTGCTGTTGGTGAGAGAGACAAGCTTTTGAGCTTACACAGAGCTCTTCTTCACGTCTGGGACATGTACTCATGGGAACCCAGAGCCTGAGCTCCAGCCGGAGCCTAAACGTCTACACAGTAATTAAACCGCCCCATAGCCAGAGTCTGCTGACACAGGCCAGCCGCAGAGGTTTAATTGCAATGTACACATATCCTACCAGTCTGAGTCTATGCTGTGGGTGAAGATCTGTGGACTGGAAGTAATACAGTTGCAAGGGACTTACTAATCTTTGTAAGGGGAAACCAAATTCCATAAACTGAGCTAGATATCTGCCTCTTCTGTTGAGGGAAAAGGGTCACAATATTCCAAGTTTAAGCAGTTAAACCCAAAGAGGGAAAAACGGTCTACTAGAGATCTAACTTTATGCAAATGTTAATTTCTGTACTTCAGTGCTAAATGCTGTGGTAAGGGGCATCTTCTAAATTCCAGGAACAGATTCCACCTCTGTTGCTGCAAACACTCCATCCTAGGTTCTGATTTTACACCATCTTGACTAAACCTTACATAATTGAGATTGTGTCAAATAATCATTAACATTAGATTGTGCTTTTATCTCTCCTTAACCTATGATTTTTGTAAAGTTAGTTATTAAAAAGGAAATCCTAAAATAAGTGTATTAGGAGAGATCTTAGATAAATCTCCTGGGGCATTAAGAGAAGTTTTATTTGAAGTGGGTGAACCCTGTCTGGAGAGAGATGGAAGGTTGAGGGTTAATTCTTTTACAAATCCATAATCCTTCATTAATGTTCTGAAAGCAGATATATTCAGATTCCCCTTGAGGTATAGGGAGCTGGAGGAAACCAGAAATGTAAATTGCACAGATTTTTTTTTAAAAGTCTTGTCAAAACGGGAGGGGGAAGGGCAGAATTGTGTTTGAGACCATCCCAATGCTGTGGTACTTCCTTCCACAGGACTCTGACAGACACACTTCTGTCACGTTTGCAGGGTAGGCAGGGGGGTGACTAGGCAGGAAGGAAGCTGAGGTCCCTTCTACATTTGTTTGAATTTCCCCCATTCTCTGCTGAGGGACCTGGCAGCTCCAAAAGCCTTGAGAGAGCAGGGGTCACTTCATCGCTTATTAGGTGTTCATGGCCAAGGGGATGGAACTTTGATCACAGGCAATTCTGTGTGGCTCAGACAGAAGTTGGTCCAATAAAATATTACCTCACCCACCTTATTTCTCTAATATCTTGGGAGCAACAGAGCTACAACTGCTCTGCCTACTGCGTTCGTAAAAAGCTCAACATTTAGTTGCTGATGTGTAGTCTCAGCTTTAACTTTGCCTGAAAGTTCTTTGTCTCAGAATTTCCGTCATTTTAAAAACA